AAAAAAAAAAAAAAAAACAAGAAGAATATAATATTTTTTGAGATAAAATTACGTTTCCAAAAATTGAAAATTGGAAATGTTTTCAATAGAAATCAGTTTTATTTTTATTTTTTAATTAAATGAATATAAAGGATTTTATTCCAATTTTTACGCCTTTCTTTTTTTATAGGAAGTCTTAAATTATTTTGACTTACTATATCTAGTAAATCTAATTTTTTTTTTTTTTTTTATAGTTATAGATAATTATTTTTTGAATTTTATAATTTACTATTAGTCTATGATGTTTTAATTTGTAATTAATTTTTGTCAATTTGTAAGTATATTTTAATTTATCCATCCATAAAATTTAAAGAAAATTAGATTTTTAAAAAAGAGTAAACATTTAATTCAAAACATAGAATTGTTAAATAAGATATGCAATTTATCAGGAAAATTTTTATAAACTATTTATAAACAACATTCTCTTTAGTAATATATAGATAGATACAACTAAAAATATTATATTGAGTGTATTTTTTTTTTTTTGGTTAGAAAACAAAAAGTATGGCTAACATAATACCAACATCTGCATTATTGAGAATATATGTCTTAGTGATGATCAACCAAGCTTAATTACTTGCCAGTCTGCAAGTAACACACCTATGTGAAAAATATTGTCCATAACCCTTAAAACGCATAGATGTAGACAATGTATTACAATATCAAGGGACCTCGTACACAATTCTCAAACTCACATAATTACACTTGACAGCACACCTACTCTTGCTCAATATTTATAATATCTCACCAATGTTTATTACACGAATGGGATAATTGCTCGACGGTTTTTAGGGTAGTTGTCAAATTTACGAAGGTACCATCTATGTGTATCGGCGGCAGCAAAGGCAAGATTTGCAACCTGCAATCATATAAAGTCTTAGAAAAACAATCGAAAAATAATCCATCTACACTTTCTTTTTTTAGTATTTATAGAGGTGGATGGAGCATATCATGATTCTTTCACTGTTATCTTTTCAAATCAAGACTTACCACAAATCCAAAGAGTAACCACATCGTGATATCAAAAAATCCACCAGCAATCACGAGCCCGCCATATATGACCTCCACAAATGAAGGTAAAAAAGTAAAAACGTTACAACTCCAAGAGGCAAACTTTAACTTAATTACTAGGAAGTGTTGCCAAAGAATTAGAAGAATATCAAAATGACTCACAATTTCTGCAAGATAATGTGGAGAGGAAACATATTCAAACCAGTCGCCTCGTGGAATTTCGTAATCGTTGACCTTTTGGTCATTTTCCCTCAAAGATCCCTGATAATCAAGAATCAAGAAGACAAAGATTAAACTGAACTACTAATGATATATGGAATAAAGTAGCAGCAAAAGGTATCTCAAACGAATAGGCACACATTCCAAGTGGTCCGAACAAATGTATGACTATCAATCATCACCTCTATCCCAACTTCGAACATGAGAAATTATTATGATGCAACACAAAATAAATCATATACTTGCTGACAATCACTGGCAAATTCAAATGCAAACCACCATTAATTCCAGTGTCACTTTTCAAGTTCAACAAAAGATGGAACCTCATGAGTTTTTGGACCAAAACTTTATGTCTAGCAGAGGATGATCTATAAATATTCTTTTTGGGTTAATGACAAAGGTTTTGAAGATAGCGAAAGGGAAAAAAACACAAGAAACAAAGTTACACATTCATATACACTTGTAAAATTACAAACGAACTGATGTTAAGCAGGTACAAATTTATGCAATTGCTGCTTGCACAGAGTGTAATCCACCGTGCTTTGCATGTCGAATGAATAATTTTATCTCTTTGTTAACGCCCATGTATAAGGGCATAGAGAATGAAAAAAAAAAAAAAAA